AACAATTAATATGCTTGACTAAACACAAATGCAACATGATAAAAACCTCAAGCAATTATATAATTGAATATAAAAACCTAGACAATTGCAAATCATTAAGTCAAGAAATAATAACTAAGCAAATTAGTAGTATCTTCTTAAGACTTAACAGATGAGACAGTCTAGATAACTTAATAAGACTTAGAATAGCTCAAAGATGCCAGAAAGCAGGCCTAACAAAAAACATTTGACACAATAAAAATAAACCAGAAACTAAAAAGTTTTGAAAAAATAATCTAGCATGTTAAACAATAGCTAATACAAAAGAAATAGAAATAAATATTAAGATAACAAAATGGCTATGGAAAGTCTACAGACATGGTAGACAAATAAAAGACATACTAGAAACAAAAACATGAATAGCAAGTAGTAGCATAATAAATGAATAGAGATTATTATATATAAATTAGCTAATAGATATAAAAAGTGACAACCTAATTACATGAAGACAGCTCAAGAATCTTCAAGGACTATCATGTAAGAAAAAGAAAGCAAAATAGTTCAGCAAAATAGAAAGAAAGATGCTAAAAATACAAACAAGCAGAGAAGTACAAGACTATTATAAAATAAACAGCTATAATATACAGGCATTAAAGATTAAGTGAACAAAGATTTCAGAAGACTGAAGAAGAAAAGAATAAATTATACATGAACCAAAACACAACTAGCAATTTAGTAAAGTAGTTAAGAAAAAAAAGAAAAAAATGTTAGCAGAATATTGACTAATATATAAAGAAGAAAAAAAAACATATATAGAAATAAGAGCCATGTTATTAATTACCTAATTATTTTTTATCAGAAACCTACTTTCTCTTTCTTCTTTTAATATATAAATAGTCAGGTTTTTTATATATAATTTCAACTTTTTTTTACCTTCCTTTTCTAAAAAATCACCTGATTTTTGATACTTTCCTAAGTGTATATAAAGGTTATAAAAATAGATTAAAACAGACAACAGACAAATATGAAAGATGAATAAGATGAGACCAGAACATGAAAGTAGTTCTAGAGTTACTAATTAATAAAATAAATAATAAGATAAATGCAATACTAGAATAGTTATTAGAAAATAAAAGAATAGAAGAATAGAAAAAAGATGAAATAAGTTATTAGAATTAAAATCAACAAAAAAATTAAAAATAAAACTAATCAAGAAACAAGAGTTAAATGGTACAATCACAAACCAGTTAGCAGAAATTCTGATTCAAAACCAAAGAAAAGACAAGGAAAAGTACATTATTTATACTAATAAAGCATTATATAAGAAGAAAAAAAGAATCAATATAAAAAAAATAGGTATTGGCTGAATACAAATAAAAAACAAAAAAGACTGACCAGAGAAAGAAGCTGCATTTGGACTCAATGGATGGCCTTTAGTAACAATAGCAAAGCTAGCAGCAATATGAACAACAATTTTAATGGTTCCAAAAAAAAAAAATATAGAAATATATACAGACAGCATCACAGTATTAAGAAACATTAATAAAACAATTTAAAATATAGAAGATGAAAATACTTTAAAGAAGAAAAACATAATATGAATAATGAATATTATAGGTCTTATCAAAAATAAGAACATAAAGATAGAAATAGTTAAAATTAAAAGACATAGTAATGACAAGTAAAATAACAAAACAGACTCCCTTGCAAAAAAAAAAGCAATTTGCAAAGAAATAATACATATAGAAAAAGTCAATTATAATAAAATAGAGTACTATTTAGAATAGGAAAATAAAAAAATTGACATATCAGTAAGACTTTTGTGTAAAATAATATCAAATGCCAGAATCAAAACTAATTAGAGAGAAATAAATCCAATAAAAACACTAAAGCCAGAAACAGATAACACAGTATATAATTAGACAAGTTTTTGAAAAAAGATGAATAAAACAAAAAAAATTCATTATATATTAAGAAAACTTAGTATAAGAAGAGTTATAGCAGTCAAGTACATAATAGATAAACTGCTAACACTTTAAGAACTAAACAGAAGAAGACTAAAGGTCTATACAACTGCAGAGTGCCAGGTATGCCAAGCTAAGAAGAAAGAAACACAAGCATACTTTGTAAGCTGTAGCAGACAAAAAAGTTTATAGAAATAGATTTAAAAAGTTGTAACAGCAACAGCATGAAATGGGTTTAAGGAAGAAAAAAAGAACAAAATTCCATCACAAGTTTTATATAAAGTACTATTTGAAAAATCAGAAGTAGAAAAAATCACAAATAGAGAAGTGCCAATAAAAGAATTGATAAAGGTAAAAGTAGAAAAGAAACTCAAATGACTCCTAAACAAGCAGGCAATGCAGAAATGTATAGAATACTGATGAGAACAATATAGAACATTTTCTATAATTAAGTATAGAAAGTCTAATATAAAAAAACATATGACTAAGAAAAGAAGTCCAATATAACAAACAAGATAAAAAAAGATGCTTATGCAAGAAGGAAAACAAATAAAGAAAAGAAGAAAGATAACCAAATAAAAGAAAAAGAAAAGAAAAAGAAAATAGAGAAAGCAAACTAAATAAAGAAAGAAGCTTAAAAGACAATTAATATACTTGTTACAGAAGGGAAGAAGCCCTTCTGATATGGCTTCAAGCAGTTAGATAAGCAGTCTATCTCTAACTGATATAATGTAACAGGTTGCATTTAAGTACTATAAAGGTGACTGAGTATTGCTAGACTTAGATATTGGAAAGTTCTATATAATTATATATATATATAGTTTTAAAAATCTTAATAAAGTACTAGCATAACTGCTTAAAGTTAAAAAAAAAAAATAAAAAATAAAAAAAATAAAACATTGACAGATGTAAAGTATAAAAAATAATTTAGTAACTAAAATCAACAAATGTAATAAGTGTATAAATAAAGAAAAAATAGTAAAAAACAGTTATTAATATTAAATAAAAATCAATAATAAGATAAATATAATTTCAAACATACTAATAGTAAAAAGTAACAATATAATCAAGACAGTGACAAACCAATTAACAGAGTACACAAGAACAGAAGAATTAGAAAAAAATAAACAAAAACTAATAGAATTCTAAATGCTAAAAGATCTAAAAATAAAATTAGTTAAAAAATAAAAACTAAGAGAGAATATTATTCAAAAAATAGTAGAAACTTTAAAGAAGAATGTATCAAAAAACAAAAACAAATACATAATATATACTAATAGTGTAGCAAATAGACAGAATAAAAAAAAAACAATAAACAAAAACATGGATATAAAATGAGTACAAACAAATAAAATACAAGATTAGTTAAAAGAAAAGATAACATTAGAGATAAAAGAATAATTAACATCAACTATAACTAAGATATTAGTAATATGAATAGCAATTTTGACAATATTAAAAAAGAAAAAACTAGAAATATTTAAAGACAATAATATTACAATTAGAAATATTAGTAAAAGTTTAGAATATATAGATAAAAATAGAATTCTTAAGAGAAAAAATATTTATAGATAATAAAGATAGTTGACTTAATTAAAACAAAAAACATATAAGTAGAATGGTTTAAGATAAAAAGTTATAGTAAAGACAAATGAAATATTAAAGCTAACAGTCTTGCAAAAAAAGAAACATTAAATAAAAAAATAATATATATAGAAGAAGTCAAATATAAAGAAATAGAGTACTGTTTAAAATAGAAAAACAAATGAATAAACATGCTAGCAAGACTTTTATATAAGCTAGTAGCAAATATCAAACTAGATACAAAGTAGAGAAAAACAGCAGTGATCAAGAATATCAGTAACAAAAATAATAATTTACAATTAGACATACTTTTTAAAAAGACTAAAATCAACTAAAGAAGTATATTGTATAACAAAAAGAGTAATACAAGAAGAAGTATTTTTATAAAGATGTATTAGACAAATTTCTGATATTGAAAAAACTCAATAGAAGAAAACTAAATATATATACAATTACGAAATACAAAGACATCTAACATAATATAAAGAATAAGTAAATTTTTTAAAAAAAATACAGAAAGTATTTATTGCAACAACATAGAAAAGATTAAAAGAAAAAAAAACCCAGAGTTCTATCTTATATATTATCTATAATGCTTTTCAAAAAAATAAAAATAAGAAAATTATTAATTAAAAACTTAATTTTAAAAACAATTCAAAACAGATTAGTACAACTTCTAAACACAAAAACAAAACAATTTGTAAATGTATTAACAGAAACAGTTTAGAACATATTTTATAAACAAGTTTAAAGAATATGATACAAAAAAATCAATATATAGAAAAAAAATAGAAATAACTAACAAAATAAAAAAAAAATCCAGAAGAAGAAAAAGAATCTAAATAAGAAGAAAAAAACTAGTTAGCAAGAAATAAAAGAAAAAAAAATCAAATCAAAGATAAAACTAGAAAGACAATTTTGAAACTTATTATAGAAGAAGAAAGACTCTTTTATTATAAACTTTAAAGTAATTAGATAAGCAGCTTACTTCTACTTAAAGTAATATGACAAGTTGCACTTAAACATCATTAAGGTGACTAAGTGATGCTAGACTTAATTGTTAGATACATCTATGTAATTGCAATAATAATTCCAAGAATCTTAATAAAGCACTAGCGTGACTGCTTAAGTTTAAAAAAAAAAAAATTTCTTAATAAATTGCAGATATGACAATCAGGTGAACTACTTAAATAGGCAACCAAAAGTTACACATGTAATTAGTTGTACACTTATATATAATTAAAAACACAATAAAGACGATATCTGCCATAAACATCAATAAAAAACCCCTCCAAAATCCCAAAATATATACTGTATCTTCTAAAAGCTTAATATAAATCAACTTTTATTAATATAATTTTATTTCTTATGTAATACCAAACATTGAAACCAGGTATAACTTAGGTTTAGTTTTTAGTTTTGAATTTTGAACCCAAGTGTTTTAGAACCTAAAACAAACTCTACCATCACTAGTTATGAAACTGTTTCTTCCAGTTTCAGCTTGACTGATTTAGTCGCTGACGACTTTTCAGCTTCATTATCGTCGTCTAGCTTACGTTTACATCCGATGTTTCCAGTATCATTTTCTTCCAATTTCAGCTTGACAGATTTATTCGCTGACGACTTTTCAGCTTCAGTATCGTCGTCTAGCTTACGTTTACATCCGATGTTTCCAGTATCATCTTTATCCCCAGTCCTTTGCACGTTATTCATTTTTGTACGATTATAACTAGACTTCTTTTTTGTTTCTTCGATAAATTTTCGTCTATTCAAATAATATTTTTTCTCATCTTCACCTAAACCAATATATATATATATAAATAGTAAAATAAATTAAAAAATAAAACGAACAGAAATCATTAACGAACCTTCAAGCACTGTAAAGATAGGTTTGAAACCATCAAATTCTAGATCGTCATTTTGAATCGAGGACGCAACTTTTAAAGCGATTGGGTCCTCGAAGTGGATTATTCCGTTTCTGAGCTGATGATCTAATTTTACAAACACAACCTTACCATAGTCCGATTCCATTTTGGCCTATATTTAATTTCCATCCATTGCATTATCAACTTCGTGTTATCATATGACATAAATACATGACATTTAATCCAGTATAAATCATACCTTAATGTCTTCCCAATGAACATTAGGTCCAGCTCCCTCAAAGCGTAATAAGCAGTCCTTTTCATACTTAACCGAGTCTAATTTAGGGTATGACTTTGAATTTGATTTCGAAACATACGGTACTTGCTTGCGCATAGTATCAGGATCCAATCCTTTTTCAACGCACTTCATTTCACAATAATCAAACCTACCATAAAATTTTTTACGATAAAGACAACAATAATAACAATCTAATCTATAATTTAATAATAATAATAATAATAATAAGACCAATTACTTCATCATTATTGTTAATTTCATGTCATTAAAAAACAGTTCCATCTCCGATATCCTTTTGGCTTCTTCGTGTGTCCCAAATTGTATAAAGTATGACCCCTTAAACATAATAGTAAACAAATGAATTCAAACTACTATCAAAATATTAATTTGAATGATCAAAATTACCTTAAATTTTTCATTATTATCCTTGCGAGGCGTCACTTTAATAACTTTACCATAGTCATTAAAAAAGTCTTCAACGGATTTCTTAGGAGGCTGATTGACCGTGTCAAACCCTTTCTAATTAATCAATTCAATGTAGTGAATCAAATTAACCAAGATGATAGTAAATAAATACATCAAAAAGGGTTAAGATTATTACAGCATAAATCGACCTCCACATCGGCCCAGATTTTATATGTTCTGGAATTGGCGTCCTAATAGAAGTTTTTCTCCGAATTTTAGTACCAGAGTCGTCAACTTCTAATATTTCTGGAGATTCTCGTAGAGCTTCAACAATTAATGCATCATCTTTGTAAATCTGCATTTTTTTAAATTGACGCACTATGGCAAGTGAGACCCCTGAATGCGTATAGTCCGTTGTTAAGGAATGTGAATCTTTGGAAAAGTGATTAATCTCTTACGAAAATAGATAAAGGATACATCCTTGTGAGTCTTTGCTACACAGTTCCTTTAGGAATTTATCATTTGGGAAATTCTTATCACCAAAATAATATTCCACTTGTTCAAGAATGCGTTGTTTTTCTTCTATTTCTTCAGAAGTTCGTTGAATTGCCTCACTCGGAGTGATATCTTTAATGGATCGTAAAGGTAATAGAAATATAGTTAATAACATAATAGTTTTTTATTGGTCAAAATATCTTTTTTTTTGTTGAATTTTCATTGCATGAATTCTAAGTTTCTTCAGCGCAGCAGCTAGACCCTTGAGACTAAATTAACATATGTTCATACTATTAAAGTCTTCTTTCTTACTTGTATAGTTTATTACCTATTGCATCTATGTCGTTTATCTTTATACTTGAAGCTACCTCACCAACGTTTTCTGGGAGCTCTGATCGCATGTTAGGTACAGTAGAATAGGTTTATAAAAAAAAAATTGATCTATCACTATATAACTCATACAGGGCTGAAATTCGTCTGATTGGGGTGTATGTCGTATAAAGTCTGATGGCATTTTTTTCGTGCAACATGAATAATCTAGTGAAAAAAGCACTTTTATTTGTTCAAACCGATTTAACATATGAAAATAAAACTGGGTTCTACACATATGAAAACAGATTGAAGTTTATAGTACAGTATTTTAAAAAATTGTTATATCAAGTCTTCGCTATAATAGAGCAATATGGTCTAATATTATGCAATGATTTTTTATTATTTAAATAATTACAGGCGTCAAACTGAAATTAATTTTTTTGTCCAGTAGAGCCAAGTCTCTATTTGGGCAAGTGAGTTCGCACTCTTCGTCACACCTTCTATTTTACGCTGCAGGTTAGGTAAGCTGTATTTTTCTTTCTTTCCACGATATGAGAGTGTCAATTTAGCTAATGCTTTTAATAATATTTAATAATTTAACTTTTTACCCTGAAGTCATGCAACTAAAAATATTCACCACATCTAAGGGTGTAATTAGTTTATCATTGCTATTGTATATAATGCATTTATTTGTTTTACAGTTATTATATGAATTGCAAATTGGTGGAGTTTGATTGTGTAATTAAGCATAATATGATATTTATTAAAATTAGTATTTATAAAAGGTAAGATAATAATATATATATTTTTTTTTTTTGCTTTTATTAAGATTGTTTTTTTTTTTTTTTGATGTTAAGGTGACCTTTTTGGTTTTTTGATTTTTATTAATGACTTATTGGTATTGTGATTTTATAAACCATTACAGAAAAGAGTACAATTAGCTACATATGTAACTTTTCTATATTACTTATTTAAGGAGTTTGCTCAAAGGTTCTTCACCAATTGTTATACTTAACATTTCTGTTTGGGTGTTTTATTTTAAACCTTTTGAATTTGTAATTTGTGTTAATTTATTGAGTCATATTCAGATATTCAGATCATTGTCTTAAATTTAAAACTAATTTATTTTTGAGATAAATTCTTTAGAGTTTTCTGTATTCATTTTTACAATTGATCTAAGTATTATTATAATAGAATCAATATTTGCAATTAGGGTTTAATTATTAAACTGTTATGTTCTTGTAGAGTTTACTTGAATCCTAGCATCTATTTTACAACATATTTGAATTACTTTAGTATATTTTTATTTGTTTTTTAAACTTTTAATCCAGATAGCTCAATAGGATTATGATCAGTTTATTAGTATATCAGATTAGTCTGATATCCTTTTTCTTTGAAATTTGGTAATCTGGTTGATAGTATCTGTGTTTTCTAAGCTTAGGTTTTTGGCGTTTTAAGTACTTTGATATTGGTATTCATTTCCTAAAATTAGTTTTTACAATAGTATCATTAAAGATTCAACTACTTTTATACTCAGATTTTCTTAAATGAACTTTTTGTTACTTAATTTTAACAGATTTACATAGTTATAAAGACTTATCTAGTGTTTGCATTACTCAAATATTAGTTTGAATTCCTTTATATAATTACAGATCTTGTTCCAAAGGACAATATCATATAATTGTTATATAAATGCTCTATAATCTGTTAATTATGCTAATATGATCACTATTACAGATATCCTAATTCAATTATTAATAACAGTTGGCATAATATAAATATTATATAGATAATTATTTAAATTATTCATATCAATGAGATTTGAATATCCAACCTATCACTTAGAAGGTTGACAACTTGATCATTTCATTAGGTTGGCACATCTTTTTTATTAAGATTAATATTAATGATAATTATTATCTTTATTGTATTTTAATTATATATATATATATAAATAACTTATTCAAAATAAATATGTAACTAGTTATAATAAATCAAAAACTCTTTCTAATAATTATTAAAAAACAAATAAAATAGAAAAAAAATTTAAAATATAGTAGATAAAGCTTAAATAAACTAAATAATATACAAAGAAACAATCACAAACACAAAAAACAAACTCTTACAATAATATCAACTACTATATTAACTAACAAAAAAAGTGATAAAGCTAACAAAATCAAAAACCAAATATTTGGGGACTTGGTAAAGGTCAACTTGTTTCAAAAACAAGAAATAGAATATATGCTCATATATACATCAAGAAGCAATAAACAAAATATGAATGTTTATAAGATAAAGCAAAACAATAACAACATAGAAACAACTTATATTTAATCAAAAAGAAAATGTTTTAACCCTTTATACTCTTCTGAACATTATACAAAAAGTTCAAAAAGTGGACAAAACAGCTTATTTTTAACAAAATACACAATGATATCATATGTTATACATAACCAAACATCAAAAGCTATAATCAAAAACAATAACAATAATACAGATAACATAACAGTAGATAACCAAAATCTAAATATAAAAAATATAGAAGAACAGATGCATATAGTTAATATTGATAGTAGGCCTATATCTGAAAATCATAGTACAAATAAGAATAGCAATATAAACTAATACAAGTCTTATAGTTATGTATTAAAACAAAATATAGAAAATCTAATAGATGCTGAAGATAATGCAATTGCAACAAAAATACAAAGTTGGACTAAGTATATAATACAATAGCTAGATCTGCAGATTACTAAAAAATTTGATACAAAATCTGGTCTTTAGACAAAATAATTACAATATTAAATAATATCACAGAAATAAAAAACTTCACAGAATACAAATTAAAAATATAGCCAACAAAATACCAAATCTTAGCAGCTATATATTTTAAATTTAAACATCTAGATTCAGTCTTTTTTACATTATTTATAACAAATAGACAAACTATATCTGCTTATTAAATTGAATTCACAAATTTATTTAGAAAAAATATTAAAAAGTACAAAGACAAAAATAGAATTACACTAACAAACAAACAAATTCGAGATACTATTCAACAAATGCTAAGGCAAAAACTTATAATAAAATACTTAATGAATCTTAATTTTAAATATAGCAAATCAAATAATATTTATAAAATAGTTAAATACTGTTATAACTTTATTTAAGCATAACTAATTGAAGATATAAATAAATTACAAAATAAAATTAATTAGACATATAGCACATTATAACATTCTTTGCTCAGTAAACTATTGGAAATTGATATCAAAATTATGGCAATTATAACTTTAAACTACCAATTACTAAAAGATCACAAACTCAAGCTATAGCAAGCTCATTATGTGCTCTGTTTTATTTTATAATCTTACCAGAATCATACTTTATATTATTATCTAAACTGTTTAACAATCTACAAGAATTCAAAGAAAAACTAAAATTGTTTTTTTCAATAATGAATCCTAAGTAACTTTGAGAGCTAAGATACTATCATGCAAAGTTAATTAATTATTACAATTTGACAAAATTTCAGCAGTATACTTCAACTTGCCACCAAGCAAAAAGCCACTACTAACTACATATCATGAACTAAATAGCAGAGTTAGACATCTATTTCTATTAGACATGTTAAAAGAAAATACAGAAATTCAAAAAATAATAGACTTACTAAGAGAATACTATAGATTTAAACTGCTACCAAATGACTTTTTCATACAAAAGCCATTGCTACCAAAAAATACACAAACATAAAACTTAAAACTCAATTCAGCTATTCTATAATTGATGATAACATAGCAAGAGAATTTCTAAACCAGGCAAAAATGAAATACAAAATACAGTTTCCTATAAGCAAAGAAGTAAAAACTGCTAATCCAACAAATAAACCAAAACTTTCAAATAATAGTACAAAAATTACAGAGTACAACATTACTATACCAATTACATCTTCTAGAATACTAGTAGATATAGCTAGACTACTTCATGAACACTATTATTTTGATTAAATACCAGTACACTGAATTGAAATACTGAATAAATAGCAAGAAACAAAAGCCCAACCTAATGCAACAAACAAATCAACAATTCTATTAATATTAGTTTAATTACAAAAAATGCTTAAAGACAAAACAGATGAAATATATATTAGTTTACTAATTACATAACAAGCAAACATTACATTTACATTAATGATGCTTAGACAACACTTTGAAATTTCAAAAATTTCAGACTATATCTTACAACTACCATTACTCTTAGAACCAACATAAAACATCTTATCCAAATAATAATAACTAAGTTATACCAAAATAGATACAATAATACTAAAAAAAAAACATTAAACAAGCATTATAAAACAGCATCAACTAAATCAACTAAAGTAATTCTATATAATATACAAGACACTAACAGCAAATCAAACAGCAAACTCAAGAAAAGAAGAATTTATGAATCAGAAAAGAAGCTAAGAAGATATTATTAGAGCTTGTCATAGAAGAGAGAAGCCCTTTTTTTCTTTTTAAACTTTAAGTAATTAGACAAGCAACCTATTTCAACATGTTTGGAGTAGTATAACAGGTTGTACATAGGTACTGTTTTGGTAGTCAGGTAATGCTAGACTTAGTTATTAAAGACATCTATATAATTGCTAATATAATTTCAAGAATCTTAATAAAGTACTAATATGGCTGCTTAAGTTTAAAAAAAAAATATGCAACTAGTTACATGTGCAACTTTTGGTTATTTATATAAATAGTTTATTTGCATATTTTATTTTAACTGTTATATTTATAATTTGCTAAAAGTTAATTTATTTAAATATTCTGATTTTTTATTGTCATATTACAGAAAATTTGTGTTTTAAAAATCCTTATTTATAAGGTAATTAAAAGTTTTTATATAATAACAAATATGTTAATACTCAAAAAAGATATTGAATTTGAAGGTGTGGTAACCTAGTGAAGTGGTCAGGTTGTCAATCTTTCAAGTGGTAGGTTGGTGTTCAAATTTTATTAACAGCAAAAATTTGGATAATTATTTATATAATATTCATATTATGGCAACTGTTACTAATAATTGGGTTAGGATATCTGTAATGGTGGTCACACTAGCATAACTGGCAAGTTATGGGGCATCTGTATAAGTATGGCATTACACAAAGGAATGCAAACCAACAAATCAGGCAGTGTAAACATTAGATAAGTTCTTGTGATTATGTAAATTTGTTGAAATTGAGTAACAAGAAGTCCATTTGGAAAGACCTGAGTAGAGAAATAGCTGGATCTTTGACAGCCCTACTGTAAAGGCTAGCCTAAAGAAACAGATATCAAGGTCAGAGTACCTGGTCGGAGTATCCAGTTGTAGTAGCTAGATGGGCAAAAACCTCCAGGTTGAGAGTTTTGGGGATATTACCAACCAGGCTGCTAGAACAAACTAAAGAAAAAAAATATTGGCCTAACCTAATATACTAATGAACTGGTTGTAGTCCTATATAGGCTATCTGAATTGGAAGTTTGGTAAAAAGGCAGGTGAAAAGGCAAGAGTATACTAAAGTACTGAGGTTATACTGTAAAGTAGATGCTAGAGACTAAGTGAACTCTACAAGGACATAGCAGTTTAATAGTTAGCCCTAACTGCAAGTGTTGGTTCTGCTATAATGATACCTAGATTAGCTGTAAAAATAGGTACAAAAGGCTCTGAAGGGTTTACCTTTAGGATAAATTAGTCTTAAGGTTGAGATGATGATCTGAGCATTTGGGTATAACTCAGTAAGTTAACACAGGTTACAGATTCAGAGGGTTTAAAGGAGAACACTCAAGCAAGAGTGTTAAATATAGTAATTGGTAGAGAATCTTTGAGCAGACTTCTTAAATAGGTAATATAGAAAAGTTACATATATAGCCAATTGTACTCTCTTCTGTAGTGATTCATTAAACTACAATACTAATAAGTAATTAATAAAAGTCAAAAAGACCAAAGAGGTTACCTTAATACTAAAAAAAAAAGAAGATATTAAATTTGTTAAGTACTAAGAATAAATATTATTTTATTAATTATATATATAAGATTTATCTTTTTTATATATATAAAGTGCATTACTTATATATATATATTTTATATATTATATATTTAATAAATATACTATATGCATTAATTATACTATATATACTAATTGCTTTATATGTATTTACTATATTTACTAATTATGTTATATCTGGAATTCTGCATAGCAAAATGGAATGATGAGCCAACCAATCTGATTTTGAGATTTTAGGTTAATAATTTGCTTATAGGTCTAGTTTTTTTAAAATATTTTTGTTTTATCAAATATGTTAATAAATAGTGACCAAATTTATGATTTTTCTTTGTTGTCATTATAGTAAAATTTAAAAGAAAATTAATTACTATATATATACATACATATAGTATATACATAACAGATAAGATAATTATACAAATTATTTATAATCTGCAATATTACTTATTCATATCTCTAAAGTTCCAAAGTTGCAAAGTGTATTAGTTAATTGACATGCATGTATATACATTTGTGCATATGTACATATTATATAAATACAAAGAATATAAATGCTAAAAGAATTTACAAGAATTTTTTATATTTTATCTTTTTAGCAAAAATTTTAAAGAGTATAAAATATAATGTATATTCTAATAATAGTAGTATAAATAAAATTATTATTACTGCCTTAAAAGATTTAGACAATACTTTTTTTGTAAAATATTTAGATTCTGAAAGTAATAAAGAATTAGACTTTTTATTGAATATTGAACTGCTATTGATATTAACAATAACATTTTATTAAGTAAATTAAATGAATTTGATTTTATAGATATACCTAACAACTATATTGAAAATAAAATTTATGAAGAATTAAAATTAAAAGTTTAACAGTTTTTTTAAAAAAATAAGTGTTTATGTTGTTCTAAGCAAGCTTGTTTTAAAAAAATTAGCTATGAAAAGTTTCTTATACATTAGGCAGAATTTAAAAGTCTAAATAAAAATATGCATGATATGATTATAAAGAGGCAACTTATGGCTTTTCAAAAAATGAAGATACAAGAAAAGTTGCTAATAAAAATAGAAAATGTTTTTTTTTAGTTATTGCTATAACAATAATATTTCCATTTGTTATAATACATATTTAGCTCTTACTAAAATTGATTATACATATTTAGAAAATTTAAAACAACATTTACAAAAACATGGTCTTGAGGAGCATATATATGGTAATACTGAAAGAGCTTCAAAAAATATGAACTGTATTGAAGTAAATTATGAGCTAGTATATGATGTATTTAGATTTTTAAAAAATTATTCTAGCATGCATAATATGCCTTTATCTGAATGACATTTCAACTAAATTTTTATACCAATCATGTTTCTTTTAACCAACTTTAGTTATGCATCAGTATATTGCAAATTTGTTGAAGCTTACAAAGATAAGTACAAAGAAAATATTCATGTTATATTTGAAAGAACTTTTGTTAATATTTGAAAAATTTTAATGCTATCACTTCAATTTATATCACCAAAGTCAGATTTGTGTGAAACTTGTAAAACAATAAAAATAAAAATTTAATATGCTACATAGTATGAAAAGAAATTAGAGTTTATCAATAATTATTTAGCCTACTTGAGTTATATACAAAAAGAATGTAATTATTATAATATTAATATTAAGAATGCAGTTGAAGATGACAAACATAATCAAAACATAATTGGTTCTTAAGAATTTTTTAAAACCTTTAATAAAACTGTGCATATCATATATAATTAGGTCCAGAATGTACAAATACTATACTCATTGCAACAAATAGGCTTTTATGTAATACTGATAACTTTTCATATACACAACAGACCAACTATGTAATTAATGAAGCTGAAATGCCTAATAATAGTAAGCAAGACAAAAGTGTAAATAGTACTCTAAGCTTAGTTTGGCATGCAATTAAAAAATATAATCATCAAGAAAGTAAATTAATCATTATATGCAATAATTGTATAGGCCAAAATAAGAATAATTATTTATTATTTTTTATTCTTAGTTAATTGATCATAATATGTATAATAAAGTTGAACTAAATTTTATAATATCTAAATATACAAAATTTATCTGCAATAGTTGCTTTAGTTTAATTAAGATTCTTTACTAAAAAAGTAAAGTAAATACTGTCAACAATATAGATTAAATTATTAATTATTTTACTTTAATTAACTTTAATGTTGCTTAACATTACTTAGATAAAGAAGGATTTTAATATTATAATTTTAAAATTTATTTTAAAACATTTAAAAAACTACAAAATATTTAAAAATATCATTATTTTTATTTTACTTCACAAAATCTCAGAGTTGTTTTTTCAAAAACAATCTTGATGATAAATATAAAAATTTTACAATCTATTCTTTTTTTTTTAATACAAATATCTTACCTTCTATAATTAATATTAGGCCACTTTCTTTAAAGAAGCAAGAAGAACTACATAAAGAAATTGCATCTTATATAGACTTGCCTTTTTGTGATATTACTTGCCTCAAATCAGAACTTTCAGAATGTTTGAAATAAATTAAATTAAAATTAGTTATATAAATCAATATTAATACTGATACTGAGCCTAACAAAAGCAACTTTAGTTTATGCTTTATATGCTTTATATATATACAGTTTATATTAAGCTTAGTATTAAAGTTCTCTATGTATTAGTCAAAATACTATTAAATATAATGAATTTAAGCACAAGCATAAAGCACTGTGTTTAATAATACTATGCCTGGCACTTGCTAAATTTAGTTTAAAATAAATATAAAAAAGAATAAATACCTAATTTCAAAAATTTTTTTTATAAAAAAAGATAATATATATATTAAATAAAATAATTAGTATAAGGTTTCCTCCAACCTATCCTAGCTAGAAAATAATTTGAAACAATTATCTATAGCACTTATTAGGAAATAGGAG